TTGCCTTCTTGTCTGAGACTCCAGATTGGCCTTTTCAGAATGCCAGGTAACATACACAGAGAAATGTCTTCAGACATTCTGTTGTAAAACCTCTGTGCATTTCCATGGAACACCATAAACCCAGCTTTTTATAATTTTTACTGTCACATATATTAAATGTTTGTTAATTATGAATTTGAAATGTATTTAGCAACAATACTAATGTTAAAAGAACACAAATGTCATCTTCCATCGTAACTTTAAAGCTGGCTGGCAGAAAGACTTGCAGGAAATAATTGATTGAAAAAACAGTGATTTGGCAACTAAACAATATTTGCTTTATTGCACCGTCACATCAATTTTGTTTCCTAACTTTTAAAAAAAATGTGAAACAAAGCTAGAAAGTACTGTAAAGTTTTCTTTGCTTGGGCTTTCTTTATCATCCTTGTAAAAACAAAAATAGGGAATACAAGACTCTTCTTTGGGGTAGTAATATATTGCTTTGAACATGCATTATATACTGAAAACTTACTCAGATAATTGTAGAATCTAGCCCTGTTCAGACATTATTAAAGTGTTAAAACCATCCATGTGAGTAGGGACTGAACTAGTCACACACCCCCAAAATCACACATACCACATTGTTGCAGCCTCAGTGTTCTGTACCCTACACCAGTGGTTCTTAACCTTGGGTTACTCAGGTGTTTTTGAACTGCAACTCCCAGAAACCCCAGCCAGCACAGCTGGTGGTGAAGGCTTCTGGGAGTTGCAGTCCAAAATCACCTGAGTAACCCAAGGTTAAGAACCACTGCCCTACACAGCTGCACTTGATCTGTACAACTGGACTGGGAAATTCTTTGTTACTACAGGTATACATAAAGAAATTTCTATGCAGTTTTGAATCCTAAGCAATGATGAGTTCTAAATTATTTGGTATCCTGTTGCATTAATCCATAATTGTGAAGTTATCTTCTGTGTGGATATCCGAGGACACAGGTAATAAAAAGCAGCATCTATATGAATACAAAAAATAACCTCTTGTTGCTCTGAATGAATCCTTGAAGAGGAATTAATTGAATGTTGCCAAGCCAGTTTTTGTTTTCTTTGGAAGACTTGTGCACACAAAAGGAGGGAAATTTAATTGTCTCTGTAATCTAAATGAACCTTCTGTATCTCTCCTGGAGAAGCTAAAGTTGGGCCTATGTGAGAGAGACGGAGAAACAAACACAAACTTGAAGATAATATAATACAAGAAAACTTGAAGAAGACAAGATAGAAAAGAAGGAAAAAATATGAAATAAAGGATAATGGGGACAATTTTCAGAAACTGAAATCCGTTTTTGTTGTTGATATAAGCCATCACATTGCCTCCAACTTATGGCAACCCTATGGATCAGTGATCTCCAACATGTCCTGTCTTCAGTAGTCTTGCTCAGCTCATGTAAAGGGAGCCACTATATCTTGTATTTGGTCGTTTCTTTTCTTTCAGACTTTCCCAGCCTTATTGTATTGTTTAAAGAATCTTGCCTTCTTTTGATATGCCCATGTCAATATTCAGAAAAAAAATAAGTTTATGGGGTGCAGAGGTGTTACCCTAAAAAATGAGTCCCCTTTGAAAAGTGCCATAGAGGTTGCTGAGAAAATAAAAGTATGATTGGAAAAGTGCTTCATAGAAAATAGTTTACAAGACCAAAACACCTAGTTTGTTTTGGTACACAGCTACTGATAAGATAAAAAGGCAGAAAGAGCTCATTTATTGTTTGTGCCAATTGACACAAGAAAGCATAAACAAAATAACAATTATGTTATGTCAAAAAGAAGGCAGAAAATGAAGTTCATTTTCAAATGCCGCTTATGTTGTGTTTTACCTTTAATATTAATTAACAAAGTAATTCTGCAAAATATATGTGGACCCCTGTGTTAGGGAAAGGATAATAATCATATATTGTACAATAGAAGTTTTTGCAGAATATTACAAAAGGAGAAAAAGGTGAATGTTATTTTAAGCTGTTTGAAAAAAAAAGTGTCACCTGATGTACGAGGCTTTAGCTATGAATCTGTAAGAAGTAATTGTTGTAAGAAAGGGTAAGATTTTATGTTACCCTATTGTACCATCTAACCAGTTTTCAGGATGTCCTGAAACGGAGATCTCACACAAACTACTTTTAGGCCTTAATCCTTAGACTACACTTACTTGCACAAAAATTCTTGCAGCCACATGCAAGATACATAAAGAATTAATGGATAATGCTTTTAAGCTATAACTTTCCTTTATCTCTTTTTCCTTCTGTTTTAGCATTGTGACTGCCTTATAAATTTAATTTGTATTACAGTACAGCATATTCAGTGTCTTTTACTGGTCATGGACTGTGATAGTAATAGTAAACTAAACTAAATCCTACTGTACCAGATAATGATGGTAAAATAAACAGCAAGGAGCTTCGACTGTAGTTGACCACTAGGGTACTGATAAGCTGTGTTTGCCCTTGACAGGAGGACCGGAGTACTCCCACAGCAATAAACTCTAGTACCTGTAAGTGCTTTCATGGGAATGTCCTGACCTTGCCAGACCTTTTGTTTAGATTATGCCTCAGAGCAAGGGGTATAAATATAGGGAGAAATCACAAGCTGTCATTGAATGGAGAGACATCATATCCAAGGAGGAAGAGGAAGCATGAGACAGAGAAGGGAACTAATTCCAGGGCTGCAATGACAAGGCAGAGCCATCCCCCTCTTCTAAATCTTCTGGATTCTGCCATTTTCGTTGGAATACCATCAACAGCTGCTTCTCATTGTCAGCAAATGTTTGGACTCACATTTTAATTCTAAAGATTATATTAATGTGTTCTGAGAATATATATAAATGCACAACTAATACACATAGTACTTAAACTAGTACATTTTCCATAAAGCTCATCTCTATGCAGGCCCCATGAATACACTAGCACATATTTTGGCATATATTAGCAGCAGAGCTTTTATAAGTAGTTTCTTGAAATACAAAAATCAAAGTCCTTTTACTGAAGGTCCAACATTTTCTAGGTTCTATCATTTGCTAATAACATACTTAAATATAAGGGTTGCAATATCCTGTAGTTATTGTAAAAGTTATTTTTTTGAACAAGTCCCAGAATACTTCAGCCATTCTGCAGTATACTGGGATTTATAGTTCAAAAAAGTAACTTTGCCATTTTTGATATGATGTCATATACAGTGGTGCCTCGCATAACAAGCGCACCGCTTAACGATGAATCCGCATAGCGATGCGGATTTTGCGATCGCTAATGCGATTGCATACCGATGTTTTGTCGCATTGTGATGGGGGAACAGCTGTTCGGCAGTTCCAAAATGGCCGCCGGGACACCCAAAATGGCCACCAGGACACCCAAAATGGCCACCAGAACACCTAAAATGGCCGTCAGAATACCCAAAATGGCCGCTGGAACATGGGGAAACATTGCAGAACGGTGAGTTTTGGGCCCATTTGGAATGGGCTTTTCCGTTCCGTTTAGCGATGTTTCCCCATAGCGAAGGTTAATCCGGAACGGATTAACCTCGCTATGCGGGGCACCATATTTGCCCAGGTAACAGAAATCTCTTAGCAGGGGTGGGGGTGGAGCAAAAGGATACTGCATTATCACCCTATGAACTTGTGCACACTACATTATATGTGAATAATTGGACAGGTGTGCATATTAGCAAGCTATTACATACCTGCCTTGACTGTAAATGTGTTTTGTTCTGAATTGTGGATTTTTCATAATTTGGAAGGTCAGATTATTCTAACTCGTCCACTTTTGTTCTACAGTTGGTTTTTGCATGGCTTCTGGGACTCTCTGCTTTGTTTAAATTTTGTTAGATTCTTTAACAATGAGGACATGGAGAAGTCAAATTTTGGCTATTTCCATATCCAGTGTCAGAATTCAAAATGCCGTATCATGTGTAATGTAGAACTGAAAGTCCAGAGGCTTTACAGTGCAAGGATTTTATAAGCAGCATGAGCAGGTAGGATGGGCCAAACAAGAGTCAATCAGATCTGGTCAAAGTACAGTATGCCCCAAGGCAGTTCCTTGATGTGGTAATAAACTGGATCGGAGCTGACGTGTCCTGGGATCACAGATACATTTGGCGCTTTTTAGCACTAGACATAATACCTTTAACTGCTGACCATACTCTCTTCAGGTTGTTATTTTTTTAGGCGATTTAAGTTTCGGCTTAGTTAGCAATGCTGTTTACATTTGCTTGCTTTATATGAACCTGTCAGTAGATTTGGACTAGAAATGAACACTGTAAAATTTAAAAAGTCTCAGTCTTGTCATAGTTTTCTTTCAATACTTTTATTAGGCTAAGTGTTAAAAGTGTATGGCACTGCTTTTTACTTAAATTTTTGGTAGTTGTAAATAAGCTTAATATGAGGTTTGTAGGAGTAAATTCTCTGAAATATTTGGCTTGAACTACCTGGTAATATCTAAAAATTCTCTGCCTTGACTAATCTTTTATTTAAAATGGTATTATAGAACATTTATATTCATATAATTGAATACCATAACATGAAAGAAAATACTTCCATTGTTGACTATAAAAACGTGTTTTACCCCAGCATTAGTAATTATGTTTGCTCAGGCCTTTCTAGAACACTGCTGAATACAAATGAAGGTGAGACAAATATATGATGTGACTTTTGGAATTTAAAACACTGACTCAGCATGATCTAAAGGCATGCTGAACATATAATATACAAGAGAATTCAAATTATATTCGGCTGTTGTATTTAGCCCATACAGTGTATATTTTGAGAAGCAGATACATTCAGTATTAAAGTAGGAAATATGCCAAGTGGAAGCATTTGAGTGATGGGTAATAGCTTGTCCTATTTCTTGATTTAGAAATTCTGAAGTGTGAAACTTCATACTTGCCTTCAGCCACTTTCACTGCCTATACGGTTTCTGAATAAACTTGAGGAAGTGGTACATTTTTTAGATTTTATTTAATTTTAGTTGTTCTTCGCTTATGTGTTACAGCTCCATTTAGCAGCACTGGCATCTCTCAAGGGAGACATCGTTGAACTTAATAAACGCCTACAGCAAACAGAACGAGAGAGGGATTTGTTGGAAAAGAAATTGGCAAAGGCACAGGTTAGTGATTATTCAGCATACTAAAAATGCTCCTCACTCTTAGATGTTATTATAAAATGTTAGATGTTATTATAAGGCTGCCATCTAGTACAGTGGGGCCTTGACTTACAACCATAATCTGTTCCAGGAGATGGACGTAACTCGAAATGGTCGTAAGTCAAAGCACCATTTCCCTTAGGAATGAATTGAAATGCAATTAATCCATTCTGGTCGAAGAAAAAATCATTTAAAAAAATCACTTCAAGACTCATTGGAAACGCAGTTGATCCCTTCCAGCCTGGGGGGGGGGAGAAAAGCAATCAAGCGTGCAAGACCCATTGGAAATGCACTGAAAACAAATGGAGCAGATCAGAAATGCAAAGAAAACAAAGGGAAAGCAAGGGAAGCATGCAGGACCCATCAGAAATGGGGGGAAACCCCCAAAAGCAACCAAACCCCCTAAGACCCATCAGAAATGGGGGGAGAACCAACAAACAAACAAACCCAAGACCCATAGGAAATGGGAAAAAACACCTAGGCCCATCCAAAATGGGGGGGAACCAACCCCCCCAAGACCCATCGGAAATGGAAAAAAACACTCCAAACAACAACAAAAAACCCCAAGACCCATCGTAAACGGGGGAGAAAAAAACAAACAAACAAACAAATTGCCCCAGACGCATCGCAGCACAGAAACATAACCCCCACAGCTCAAAACCACGCTGCAAAAACACCCAGAACAGTTTTTAAAAAGCAGAAAACAGCACCTTACCTTACCAGGCAGCCCGAAGCCTTCCTGCAAACACATACATACACGCTCACTCAGAAGCAGAAGGAGGCAGTCCGAAGCCTCCTCTGATGCACACTCTCTAACTGCTGAGGCGAAAGAGCTACAAAGAAGCAGCCTCGTCACCACCTACAGTTAGAAATTTGAATTTCCTGCCTTTTTTTGTTCATAAGTGGAAGCTCCAGTCGCAAGTAGAAGCAATTTTCTGCGGCCGGAGCTGGTCGTAACTCGAAATGGTTGTAAGTAGGGGCGTTCGTAAGTCGAGGCACCACTGTATGTGAGATCTGACATTTGGACCATAGAGTGAGGAAAGTGTGTTAAAGTCAAAAGTATGACATTCAAACAATGATCTTAGCGAGCTATAAAACTGGTGGTGGTCCCTCACAGCTGACATTTATCCCTGAAAGGGTTAATTCCAGTGTGAAATCAGATAAACCCTGTAAAACATAACAAAGTTTATCTGAGTATCAACGCATAAGTTGTTGCATTGTCGCAATGATTCCAGGCAACATTAGCTTTCCTGTTAATACAAGCTTTCTTTATCTACATTGCTTCTGTGCACAAAAATTCAAGAGTTATTAAAAACATGTAATTTTTTAAAGAAGTCACAGGTACATTACTTTTGAAAATCATTTTTATAGATGTGGGAAAATGCAGTAAAGGCTTTAAAATATATGAAGACTGGATTTCAGGGCATAAAAGTACGATCAAAATGTATTTTAAGAATAAAACCCCCCGATGGAAATGGTTTGATTATGTACATTTTAAAAATACAGGAACCTGTAGCCTAAAAAGGCACAATCAAAAAGCAGAGAGTACATTTCTTAAACTATATCATTAAAAAGTTTAAGAAAAAAGCTTTGAGTAGTCTTTAGCATTGTTGGGGTGTACAGATCAATTGTGTCGCAGTATGCAGTGGGTGATTCTGCCAGTCACTCAGTTTTACCCTGCTATTGGGGCACTATTGTGCATTGGTCGCTTCCTGCCCCTCTTTTCTCTTGTGTGCCTTCTTCCTTGGAGATTGCCAGAGCACATTATATCTGATTGCTCTCTCTCCATCCACACTTGCATCCATGCCATCCAGCTTTAGGGGTGGTTTACTTGGTTTAGAATAATTCATCAAAGCTAAAGAAATTTAGCTGGAATTTTTCACTCAAATGCTGTATTTTGACCTTTGCTACTGAAATACTAAAGTTTGTAGTTAATCAACCTTTTCTAAAGTTATTACAAGTTAACTCCATGTTTTTGATTCTGTACTTAATTTAGCTCATTGAAGATGAAGCGAACAGCCCTGCCCTCACCTGTCCGTCACAGTAGAACCGTGAAGAAGGAGCCTATGAGTGGACGGAAGGCGGAGCCAAGGGGGGAGGGGGCTGGATATAAAGGCTGGTGTATGGAGGTCGAAGAGAGATTCTGGTAGTGAGAGACAGTGTGAAACTTGAAAGTGAACTAAGAGTGAATTAGAGATCTGTGAGATCAATTAATGGAATAGAGAGTTAAAAGAGGTTTAAAGTTATAGCAGTTTTGATTCAAATACTAGTGATTATCAGCCTTTGATTTACTTATTAAATATTAATCATATATTAACTTCCCTGATCTAATAAATGACTTAAGTTTTAAAAGCACACATGTCTCCATGATTAAATGGTATTATGGCAGTAATACCTGGTGGCAGCGAAGAAGGAAGAAGAGCGAGAACCTCATGAAGTCCTGGGGGAATAGGGGCTTCAGAGGAGATCGCCACAGAAGATAATTGGTTAGAACAAAAGATTATCTCTAACAAGCATATCTAGACACAGATTAAAAATATTAGGTTTTCTCACACAAGCCATTACCATTTGCATCTATGGAGAGAAATCCGTGTTCTCTGTATGTTGCATCTGCATTGCTGTGTCTTCTGCCTGCTTCTTGGCATCTCATGCTTGATACCTGTGTTGTTAATATGCAGTGCACGTATTGCTGTCTCTTGCCTCCTCATATTTATATCTCTCATGTTTGTTTGTTTTTCCACTATCAGGTGGCATGCTTCCCATGTATTAGCAGTTTACTATCTGCACAGTTTGCTGCAGTAGGAAACATAATGCTTCTAAAGGAGTTTCTATTACTTTTGCTAAGTAAACAAACTCATAAGGAAGCAGGCCACTATGGGAATAATGTGCTTCCACATCAATCCACTTGGGTACAACCTCGCTAAGTAAGCAGAATGCTTATGAAGGATACTGGAAGGGTACTCATCTGCTATAACAGCATGGTGGTCCTCTAAGAGTCTCATGATCTAGGACTTTTTATCAATGTTATGTATTTCTTTATCAGTGCCCACACGCCCATGCCTAACTGTTAAGTTGCTAGGAAAGAGATCCTTTGTGAGGGCAATCCTGTTTTACTTTGATCTTCCCTTCCCTGCGGTGGCTTTGGATTAAGAGAAGTAGCTAATTGTCTTGCAGTGACGTTTACTACACAGCTGTTCAAAACTCATTTTCTTAAGGCAGAATGTATGTTTCAGAGTTGTTTTTTACACTCCCCTTAATTATTTTAACATAATTTTTTTTAAACATTTAACAAATGGAATAAAATGTTGTTCAAATACAAATGAAAGGGAGAGTGTTTAGAAGATATTTAAACTACAATTGTGTACCCACCTCTCTGGGAGTAAATTTTATTAGATATAGTGGGATGTACTTCTGAATAGTACATATAAAAGCAAAGCATGCTGCTTATATACTGCCCCATAGTGCTTCAAGCACTCTGTGGGCGGTTTACAAGTTAATTATGCAGGCTACACATTGCCCCCCCCAGGAAGCTGGGTACTCATTTTACCGACCTCGGAAGGATAGAAGGCCGAGTCAACCTTGAGCTGCTACCTGGGGTTGAACCCCAGGTCGTGAGCACAGTTTTGGCTGCAGTACAGCAGTTTAACCACTGCGCCACGAGGCTCCTAATACTGAATTTACATGGACTTCTGAGTAGACATGCATAGAATTGCACTCTCAGATCTTTTAAACCATAAACATTTTGAATTATAGATTAGATAAACTGCTGCATTGGGTGCACCATCCTTGTTAATTACTCATAATTAATGTTGCAATGCTATATCCACTTACATGGGGATAAGCCCCCTTAAACTTGGTGGAGCTTAATTTTGAACAGACTTACAAAGGATTGGGCTCTGATTACTTCTAATTCCCATAGGATCTGTCAACTTAAAAAATGAGAGAACATTCCCCCTTCCCCCCGTAATCACCCAGATATGAGCCCTGCAATTGCTAAAGGTACATCTGTACTACACTATTCTCAAATAGGAGAAAGACAATATTTTTGGAGACAATGCTCCCACGTACCATTCACCCTACGATTCCTTGTGGATTGAACCACTACAAGGGAAAATGGATTGTAAAAAGATTTGCTCTATATGGATATGGTAGAAGCTATTGCGCAAGAATGGCACGCCCCACCCAGCCCTAATCCAGTGACAAATTTTGAGTGACTTGTCTCACTCACACAAGATTTCCCATGCACTCTAAAGCTACACCCAGGGCTAAAGTGTACACTAGGAGGCAAACTAGTGTGGAGAGGGAGGTTGCCTGCAGCCTTTGGTTCTCAACTCTGCAACCTTCAAAAGAGGGTTGAAACGGGGTGAGGTTGAACCAGTGGAGACTAAAATGCAGAGAAATCCCATCAGTGCTATTTCTCAGTTCTTTTTTCAGTGTGATAAAATAGCATAAACAGACCACCAGCTTAAGTTCTAATTGATTTTTTGACAGTCGTTGCATAGTTTAAGTTGAAATAATTTTTTAACTCAAGTTGGCTAGGACATTTTATTTATGTTATTGTTTCTGGCCCTTTATAATGCAAATAATTCAATATCTTGGACTGAAAGCTTATAAAAGGTAGTCAGAGAAGTATGTGTGAATAAGGCCTCCCTTGTGTTAGTGAACATGGCAAACGAAGATGAAATTGTTTCTTGTGGGTCAGCCTGGTCCAAAGCTAGCTCATATTCCAGGGCAGGGTAATCTCTACCTTACAACTAACTGATTCAGGAACTTTTCAACTTCTGATTTACATGAAACTTGAACTGCAGTCTGGTTAGAGTTGACAAAGTGAATTTATTAGGAATTGTACAATTTAAGATTTGTTTGAAATTTTCTATTTCAGTAGAAAATCTCTTTGGTTGAGACCACGGATGGGTACTTGCAGCTTGAGACTCACTGTTGAGTGGCATGTAAGTTGCACCAGT